ATGTTTCACCCATTGTACTATAAAAATCTATCTTGACTTCTATGGCTATTTTTATCTATTTTGGGAAACTTCCTGTCACAATAGTGTCCAGCAGTAGAACAATAACGCAGACTCCATTGAACGCAAACAACTGCCAGGCAAAAATACAGCCGGGCAAGCAGGCTCCTGGCTCCATCAACAAGTACCACTCACAGGAAATGTTATTTCATCTGTGAAGCTGCTTTCTTCACTGTAATGAGAGTAAATCGGCCAGATCAAACACCGCCTTCATCACCGTCCCGTGAGCCAAGTCCAATGCTGATCTGAACCAACCAGAGACTTTGAATTTGACCTGAGAAAATGTCCTCGGGTTTTCATTTATGAGATGGATCATCAAAATTTAGTGCTCCCATGATAACAGACACAAGAAACAGCTGGTGAAATGTGACGTTCCTGATTACACTGAATATATAACATGACGATTTAATTCGGAACATATAGTATTTGGATGAAGCCTGAAGCTTATTTCCAGACCGAGATCACACACTGTGGCTGGTTTTGAATAAGACTCTCATTTGACATTTGCTCCTTCGTGGTTTGGTAGAGGTCATTATGTACCCTTTATGGAAAAGAGAAATATGGAGTCTCCATTGTATGGCAACATCATGCTGCATTGGTATATAATTTATAGACCTGCTGCAGATCAAATTTAGCACGGCTCCAAAGTGGCTGACTCAAACTAAATTGTCATTGGGGATATTTTCCAAAGAGTGACCCGTGCCTGCCTTCAGGTCCCAGCCATCTACCAGCTGAGCCTTGTTTGGTTTAATCTTACCCAGGATCAGAGAATAGAGCAGAAATAACTCAACTTCCTTCTCTTCAAGAACCTTAAAATGTCCCTGACATCCACCGACTGCCGGGGGGCAAAACTGGTCCTCTGTGATAATTGATTTATTTAGCCTGGACTGGTCTGAGATTGAGGCTGATGTCAGTGGCTGTATGGCTCCACTGGGACACACTGGACTGGGTTATTACTGGAGTAGAGCTGGCCTAATGGGCCAAAGCAAGCGTCATTCGTTTTCCAACAATGTGGTTATTCAACCGTATTGGACAAAAGAAAAAATTGGACCTGAAGATGAAGCAAAATGGAAAGTGGTTGAGACATTTCACCTCAAACCAAAGAGGTCAACCTCATGGCAGGACTAGAGGAAGAGTCAGCAGATCAGCTCAGTCATGGGGTTTCTTCTTCACAGAAACATGAACGTCTGTTCTAAAAACAGTATAATGCTCAATCCATTCAATCTCACCCTGGACCAATGTGACTGACCAACAGAACAAATACAGACTAGAGAGCAGCTTGTGCCACAATTTCCTGTCCAAACCTGACTGAGCCCCAGAGAACTAACCAAGCCTGACCCACACCCGACAGGCACTCTAGTTTCCCCAAGATAACCAGCACATGCAGCATGAAAAAGAAAGCTCAGCCAAAATAATGGAGCCCGATCTGAACCAAATATTGTTCCACAATTTTTGTCAGAACCCGACCATAGCCTGTCATGATGCACACTCTAGACAGAGCCACATTACCACTCTACCAGTATCCATAAGTGAGCCATAACTATCCATGCATGAATACATATCCATTAACAAAAATGTGACAAACACATAGTAGCTGTTGAATAATGACAGTGTATTAATTCTTTTAATTCACTGAGGAAACCATAGCTCTGACTATATTTCATTCTAACCCTCACTAAAGTCAGCAAGCCTCAGGCATGCACAGACATAAGCTGTTCGCACATAGCTGCACGTGCACACACACCAGAGACATGCAAACACACAAGGGTTTCCCATGACTCCATCCCACACAGTTCCAAGTTTTCCCCGTAGCAACTGACTTTCACTGCCTTCATAATTGCAGTTCATCAGCAGTCCTCTCACTGAATCACACAGTAAATCTACTGACTCACAACCTCCGTCACACAAGCTCTAATAACCACAATATGCAACAGACGTAAGAAACGCCAAAGGTTACACAAGGGAATCTGTGGCCTGTTTGGACCAAATCCAAAATAAAGAAATGAATTAGTTGCCTATTGGAGAGGGGGGGTGCCCCGCTAAAAACTCTACCACGCTATTTTCTGGATAATTGACGGTCAAATGTTTAATTTATTCAAGCCCAGTTCATGCTGACCAATTTTTAGCCCAACTAGTTTTGGAAGTTGTCAGATTGGATCCAAATCAACATTCAATCCACAGCCACCAATCGCTGTGCATGAACTCAATTCACAATTCCAGGGTCTCACCAACATGTGGGGTGGCTGTGGCTGTGGGGTAGAGCGGTCTTCCTCCAACCAGAAGGTTGGAAGTTAAATTCCCAGTCTTCCCATCTGCATGCCAAAGTGTCCTTGGCAAGATGCTGAACCCCGAATTGCCCCTCATAGAACAACAATAAAAGTGCTACTCTAGATGCACTGTATGTATGAATGTGTGTGTGAATGGGTGAATGGCAAACTGTAGTGTAAAGCGCTTTGAGTGGTCTTCAAGACTAGAAAAGCGCTATATAAATACAACCATTTACCATTTACATGTCACAGAATCTGACAAGATTTCTAGCAAGCTAAATTTATAGATGAGTCTGTGACAACAACAATCAACCAGAGTGCAGGACAGGGTGAACGTGGTGATGGTACATGTAGTGGTGAGTCGCCCCCCCCAACAAATCAGTTTGTTGCTGATAAATTTCAAAATGTTAAGGTCGAATTTTCGTTTTTCAAATCCTCTACACAGTATGTGTGTTATCTTTGCTGTCACTGTGAAGATTTGTAATGAAGGATGAAGCTTATTTGACCATTTTAGCTCATATCCTTTTTTCTGAAGGACATTTAGCATCAAAAACACAAAGATTAATGAGTGTTTTTCCTTTGACTACCAGCCGGTCCAACGTTCTACCCACTCCTCCAACATGGAGAGAAAGTATTTGTATTTTCTCCCCCTGTATACACAGCTGGGGAGTCCATTTTCATTTTCACCCTATCCCTCCAATTCCCCTCCCTCCTCCCCTCCATCTCTCTCTCTCTGCCTCCCTACCCAGCTCCACATCAGGAAATGTCCACAAAGAAAGTCTATTCTCTCCGTCCTGTGGGGAAGTTGGGGAGAGTGAATGGGGTGGAATTTGTTGCCAGATGTTTTTAAGACAAACTTAACCCCCCACATGTATTTTTTTTTAAGCGGAACAAGACCCAAGAGTTCTATGGAGAAATGAGTCATGGAGAGTGAGAGGAATGATAAAAATGTTAAAGAATTTTATTAAGTGGTTGCGACATTTACATGGATAGAGAAGAAAAGAACAAGACAGAGGAAGACAGGAGAGAGGAAGATGAGGGATGAGTGTGGAGGAGGATAGTAGGGTCGGTATCTGTAGCATAGCTACAAATGAAGGTAGGAAAAATGAATGGGGAAGAAGATGAATGAGGTGGGTGCAATTTCAGGGCAAGAACTTTCCTCTACCTCAGTTTAGGTTAACAGCAGGGGGGAGGAAGAAAGCAAGGGAAGGGGATGGTGGATGGTGAGGGTCAAGAAAAGGTGAGATTGGTAACAGAGAATATCTGAAGGTGTATAAAGCTCTCTCTCTTCCTCTGAAAAGGTGAACTGAGGTAAACCGAGACTAAGAGCAGCCATCAATTCAGACATTTTTGAGACTGTACCACCTACTTCCAGCAACCTGCAATCACTTCCCACCACACACATACCTCAGCCCTCTGTTCAAAGCTCAGGAGGCGAACACCCACTGACTGTCTGAACTGTATGAAGTCATTCCCGTTAGAGGAGCCTGCTCACCGAGCGCTGGAGTAATGAATTAACAGAGAACGTCTGGACTGATAGGAGCTGCACTTCTGACTCCATGTTCTCATCAAAGTCTTCCTGCAGCAATATTTTCCTTAACACTAGTGTCTGTAACTACCACCTCTCCAATCTAGCAACTTTGTGTCCATCCTTTGGCCAATCAGATCCTGGCCTGCCTAACTTTCAAGCTAGAGAAAGGCAGTTTTAGTCTATTCATAGTTTCTGCCATTATTACTAACTGTGTTACAGTGATTGCTGAGAATCAAACCAGACAAGTCACACAAGCTGTCAGAAGGTTGCTCAAGTTATGCACAATTCCTAGATCATATGGTTAGGGGTGAAATCAAAAAGGAAGCACACCCATACAACCTTTAGCTGAGTAGCAATTCAGGTGCCACACCCTTCAGAGGCTGTATTTGAAGAATGATTGCATCACAGCTGCACAATTGGTCTATAGGCTGACCCATTTTTGAGGCTCCAACAAATGCTTCCTTTCACCCTAAAGCAATGCAAGCTACAACAGGTCGATCTTTCGTAGACCAACCTTTCCCAGGATCCATTGCACTCTGTTGGTGAACTGTTACTTTCAAAGAGGTAATGGATGCTTACAATTTTAAATGTAAGTATCAGGCTTCAACTCATCCCAAAAGCTAACAGTACTCATGTTGAAAAAAAACAAGGGTTGAGAGCATATCACAATAATTCTCCACTGACCAGACCATCCCATTTCGGTTCTGCCTTCCTGTGCCATTGGGGCTTTGTTAGACGTGGCCTCTGAATTAGAACACAACTTGTGTGTTAACTATGGAAAGTATGACAGTTCAAATTTAAACCCAGGAGTCAGTGTACTAATTCAAAAACAACAGTTTTGACAAATTTTCTGTCCAGAAATGGTAAAACCATGGGTTTGTTTGCCAATGGTTTGATCGTCTTGCATCACATATTCTGTTGGACCTCACTCTCCTATGAGTGACATCAACTCAGTCACACACAACAATACATGTGGTCACTATGGAAATGAAAAACTAAGAACAAAGTTGTAAAAAAAATTTTTACACAGTTTCAAGCCTCTTTGGTTTTCCCATCAAAATACCATCCAGGAACTTCTCGCAGCAGCAAGCTTCTATCATATCGTAACATACAGAGTCACCATAGAAAGGAGGATGAGCTCTCACCTCTCTCACACTGCGGGCCGGTGAAACCGTAGACACAGGCGCATCTGTTGGGCCCAATGCAGCGCCCACCATTCTGGCAGCCGTTCTCACACACAGCTATGGGAGAGACAGGAAAAGAGAGTGAATCACAGGGAAGCTTCACACTCTTCACTTCTCTATTACAGATTCACAAACACAGGTCTTTCATTAAGCTTCAAATGACTTCACCTTGGAATCACTTGCACATAAACACATATTGCATTGTATATTTGTATAACAAACATGTGTGAGGATTTTCACTGACGACATCAGACCTTTAGACGATAACGTCAGCTCTCCTAACATCATGCCCCAGTTTTAAACTTTGCTTTAATCCCCCAAAAATGGCATGTCTGAAAAATGAATAAAAATGTGGCACAGTGCTGCAGGATCTTTCACTCACGTTGTCCACAGTGGCCTCCAGTGTAGCCCTTCGGACAGGAGCATGAGTCCTCCGCACAGCTGCCTCCATTCATACACCTGATGTTACACGACTGAACTGTTGGGGACAGAAAAGGGAAATGATGTTGGTTAGGTTGTTTTAAAATGAGAAAGAAAGATGATCGACAACAAATGCACTTTGAAAATGACCATCACACCTTCACTTCACTTGTTGTATCAAATAGCACAAGCTGCATCATTACCCAGATTTTGTTATTTACCCTAACAAAACTATATTTTCTAAGAAACAAGACTACAGTGTTTTTAATTGATTGACTTTAGCTTATTTCATTAAGGTCTTGCCCAGTCAAAAAGCACATTAAGAGACATCTGAGCAAAAATAAATAACTGTGGTCACTTTAAAGAACCTCTTTACACTTCAAATGGGGGTTTGCACAGTGCTGGCGTATCTTTGTTTCAGCAGACGACGGCTCAAACGCCCCCAGGCCACAAAACCAGAGCTAATCAAGCAGACTGGTAGTAAAGGCAATAAGTCGAGCCAGCTGTATGCTGCAGTCAGTCAGTCATTCAGGAATTTGCTGAGAGGAGAGGGAAACTGGGTAAGGGATGGGTGGGGGGGGGGGTGATGGTAATCCAAACATGCCAGGATGCAAAGAGAACGCACTTGATTTTGTGTGGTGGATAAACAGTAGTGATCGGATCGATACTCAAATATCGATACTTACGCTTTCAAACATGTCTGTTCTAGGATCGATTCTCATGTCAAAAGAAGGATATTTACACTCTTCACTGATTTGCATGTGCATTTTTTCAACACCAAAGAAATGTTGCTACGCTATGAAAAGGATTTCTTACTTCTACCTCCGCCTGTTGTAGTAATGTCAACTCAGCTTGTTTGCAGTGACATGCACGTTGATGATGGCTGAGCAAAATGTGTGGAGCTTTTTCAGCTCGGAAAAACAGCAACAAGGCTGTAAGTGATGTGTGTGGTAGGAAGTTGACGCACCGTGGCAACACCACAACACTTGTTAAACACGGCTATAATTTGAAATAGCCTACTCTTTATTTCCCTTTTCTGAACACATTAAGCTTTAGCACAAAGTAGCGTATTGGTATCGGCAACGGCACCCTTGGTTTTATTTGGTATCGGATCAGAAAGAGTATTAGTGGTATTGCACATCACTAATAAAAACATCACAAGAGATGTAGTATTAGCTGTTATAATTTGAAACAGGACCTTCTGGCTGCCAGAGTGTGAGAGAACCAATCTGACAGCATCAAACACGTCACTGCAGCTTCTTTAAGAGAAATATATTCTTCATCCTGGCCAATTTCTGTTGCCAGACTTTTACTGTACAGATAATGAGACACCTACAGTGATGGATGCGAGTAGCCTGTATTACATCCCTGCATCCTGTTTTTTTTTTTTCTATCCTCAAGGCTCGATATTTTATTGTCCTTCACCCTGTGCTTTCATTCTCTTCCTTCCTCCACTCTTCCTTATTCCCAGCTGCCTTTCATGCTCCTACGTCTATATCTTAATCGCAAGTTCAACATTAATTTCCTCTCTCTCTATCTGTCGCTCTCTCTCTCCATGTGTCTGTTTATGTCTCTTTCCCACTTTAACATTTCTGGCATGCGGAGATGTGGAACAGAAGGGAAATGGCTGGGCTTCCCCCATAGCTGAGGTTTTTTTTTTTTTCTAATGACACTTTCTAAGTTGCCAATAGGAGGCATTTTTTCAGCCACTACAACTCACCCACTTACTCTGACTGCGTCCAAACACACTAAATATGACTTGTGTGTGAGTCACTGCAACTAAACACACTTAACGGTAGTTTTTCGTTGTGATGACCCTTATGTCTACTTATGCACAGACTTTGGTAAAAGCACAACTGCGCGCATCTTGGATGTGTCCCCTGGGTAGTTTCAGTGAATTCAATGCAGCGCTGTAATTCACTATGCTTGTCAACAAAGCTTTCTTCTCTCCATATACTAAATGCATCTTAAGTCTCAAAGAATTTCCACTCAGCTTTCTCATGTGCAACACTTGGCCGACTCTATGTACAGATTTGGCAGAAAACCTCATGGCAACATGTGGTAATCAATTAAAGCAATAGTTTGGGACTCTGGGGCACGCCATGTTTATGGGTTGGAGTACAACTGTGCTCTTTCCCCATTCTTCTCTTTCAGTCTCATGAGAGATCAGTCAGGTCTTCCTCTCAGGTTTCATCCTCAGCCCTAAGACATGAGGTTAACGCCGTACACTCCTCTGACCTGTCGTCTTCTTTCAGGCCAACAAAAGGCGCAATGATGTGAAATATATAAGAAAAATGATTGCAGTGAGTAATTACAGTTTTCTCTCCCGTTGCGGAATAAACCTTGGAGCGTGCTGTAAACCACATTCCCCCAAAGCCAAGGGCATCCTGGGTAAACTCATCCATTCAACAAGTCCCCCACCCCACAAAAACATATTTCTAAATAGGTCAGTGGAGGGGGGGAAGTATGGGGAAAGAGGTTGACGGGGGAAGAGACTTTGCAGTAAGAGACTCTCTGTCCATGTGTAGTCAGTGATATCTGTGCCCTCAGGAATAGAGGATGATGGGATAAGTGCTGAAAAGATGGGAGATAATGCGGAGGTACACAAGCGAGATTAAGTTCATGACGTGTGTTTTCTCTGTAACAGTGACTAGATGGGACACGGAGAAGGAGGAGGAAGAGCAAACAAGCACATTTGAAGGCGGACGAGGATGATCTCACTGGCTGACTGCGCCCGGCGCTCCCCCTTCTCATGCCACTCCGCCCCGCAGGTGGAGAGAGATGGTCTGCCCCAATGACCTGTGCCTGGAAAGTTGCACGTGCAGAGTAACAGGATGGGGGGATGTGCGTGTGTGCGAGCATGTGTGTGTGTGTGAGTCTTCCACATTCTGAGAGGAGGGAGTCGGGTGTATTTTTTGTGGCACCACAATGCACCTCTGTATTCTGGTAGTGTTGTCGGTGAGCTTCTTACATCTGGGTGTTTTTTACGAGAGGCTGCGAAACACAGGAAGTCCAGGTTTGTGTGTGTGTGTGTGTGTGTATGTGTGTCTGCATGTGTCCGATGGAAAGCTGAGGAGCTTTACAGCCGTGTTTTGTCCTGATTTACACACACACCACAGGGACCGCGGACACGTCAGCTGCAGTTTCAGCAACAACTGGACGACGTAATGAAACAGAAAGCTGCGTGAGATGTTGTCAACGCAGATTTAGGTATTTGCCTGCATATGTCAGAACTAAAAGGTCAGAGCATTGTTATGCTGTAAAGATTGGGCTTATAATTAGGCCTCGTCAGTATTTCCAGTCAATAGTTCATGGAGGCCAAAGTCCATCTGAAAACAGTTTTTTCTCAGCATTACGGCAAGAATGTCTATGGTAATGATTTCATAATTACGGTTATAGAAGGACGGGGTAATAAAGATGACCCTGTACCATCGTCTGCACAGCTGCTCTGCTCTAAACTGTGTGTTTCTTACAAGGGTGACCAACAATGCTAACCCTTGTTGTCTGGGAAGTGACATATGTTTGCAGGTTACCAGTTAAGACGATTCCTGCAATTTTCAAAGCTACACTGGCTTTGCAAATATTTCTCTTCCTGGAAATGAGTACATTTCTAACTATCTGCTAGTCTTTCCACAGAAACACATGCTTGTATTGTTCACTGGCATACAGAAAAGATTCCAGTAGAAAATCAGGAATCTGTTGCTGATTTATCTAAACCCTTGCATTCCAAAGGCAAGACGTGAGACATAAAGATGCTATCTATAACCTGGTGAACCGGGGTGCGAGAATCAGGCTATGTAATTAAGGCAGAGGAAATTGCCGTTTCCAAGCGGATCTGCATCGAGCTGCAATCTGTTTCCAGCTGCACTAAATTATCCTATTAAAAGGCAAGACAAGATCTACGATGAGGTGTTTGCCTTCTCCTGGCATGGCCTCAAGCCTCAGAGACAGATAATGTTGTGAAAACAATTTTCAACTTGGTAATTTGTTTAACACCTAAAAAAACGGTGAGTGTGTCTCACAGGGTCTTAGGGTTAAAAACTATTAAATGGAGCAAACACAATTTGAAACATACCCCAATAGTCTGAGGAGTTTAGAAGCAGTTAACCATAAGACTGTGAGCAAATGAACTGATAAATCTTAAAGGTTGGGTTATAACTTCATGTTTAAAACCAATAACTGACTGTAGAGATGGCAAAGTGTTGACTCCCATGGTGAAGCAAGGTCGTTAAAAACTAAAATGATTTCCGCAACGGAATTTTTTTGTCATGTCCTGCCTCCTGTATGTTCTACCCAGGCGCTACCCCTCATCTACGGCTGTATTCAAACAATTGTGTCTGGACATATACATATATATTATTCATGTCTGAAAACGGTTTGGCAGAGAGGCCAAAGGATAAACACCACCCCCCCATGCCAAAAAAACATTATTCAAAACTTCTAATGAGATGCTGTTCGATCAGACAGATGATACAGCATCACAGTAGATTCCCTTCCTACGTCACCACTGCCTGTAGCCATGTTGAAACACCAGCATAAACCCCAGCTGAGGAAAGCTGAAAATCACAAAGTGTGACAATCAGCTCGGTCCCACTTCTCCAAAGTGCTCCCTATCGCTTCACTTTTTTACTCCAGTCTCAGAGGAGCTGTTGCCAAAGCACTGACTGCAGGAGAACTGCATATCCTGCCACACAGGTCAGAGGCTGTTTTTCTCCACTGCTCCCTCCATGCCCTTCCTCTAAAGTTCGTCCTCTCTTACGGATCTGGGTCGTAGCCAACTGATGTTCACTGTGTGTGTGTGTGTGTGTGTGTGTGTGTGCCTGCATGTATGTTTCTGTCTGTCTGTTTAATACCAGTGTGAGTGTCTATGAACAATGTGTCTATCTGAGTGTGCATGTGTGTGAAAATGTGTGTTCGCCAGCTTATTGGAATGTGAGCATGTGTAAAGTGTCTGGCAGGGTCCAGGCGTGACTGACAAGCTGACTTTGGCCTATTGAGGCGGTGGAGCTGAACACACTGCATGCTACTTAACACACACACACAAACACACCTGCTCCCTAAGTGGTGCTTGGTGACGATGTTTTCAGCATGTCATACACATATTAACTTCATATTTAAACACTGCAGACATCACACTAATCTCACTCAGACGAAGGTGATTTCACACACTCGGCGTGCGTACAGACACTCACACACACACGCACACATCCTGAGCGGTCTGTAGCTCAGCCCAGCAGACTGAGCTGTAGCAGCCAGACTCTCTGCTATAATCCTGACAAACCCTGTGACCTGCAGGCTGCAGCTGAGGCCTGGGACTCCATATTCTACTATTACACTGGCTGCAGTACAATTCTGGCTCCCGTGAGAGAAGGGTGGAACCATTAGCTTCGGAGAGCAGCAGAGCATTAGAGCTATAGGAGCTGAAGCTGCTTAGTGTAACAGGCAACATTGTTCGGTCAGCCACTCAGCAGGATCGGAGGATAACTGGAAGATTACTTCATTTCTATACATAGCATTACACCAATGGTTTATTCTGTCAATCCTTGTGCACAATAGGGAATCAGATATGGTGACGACTGGAGAAAGAGCTTTAACCAGCAGATCGTAAAATTAGCTTAGCACAAAGACTGGAAACAGTGAGAAACAACTATTTTCACCAGAAGTAGAATAAGCATAATATTGGAATTATTAATGAATAAATTAATGGATGTTTGAGATAAAAAGCTATTATCTATTGCAACACTATGATGGGGTTTGATGCTCGGTGAAGATAAAGTTATTATATGTGTGTGATGAGCGGCACTACTGACCTCCTGCTCCTGCTCCACAGCTGGGAGAGAGCTGGCCATTCGAGCAGGTACACATGTTGGGTCTGGAGCAGAAGCCATCGCCACACGAGTTCCTGCAAATTGCTGGAGAGGAGAGGGGAGGACAGGACGGGAGAATTCATTTGATTGGCTCATTCATTTATTTCGAATAATCCCTATTTGTTATCTTTCCCACTGGGCTTTGTGGTATTTGTGGTATGGAGGATTTTAGGATCGAGGAACTTACGAACGATACACTGGTTCCCTCCTGGCAGAGTCTTCCAGCCGGGACAGCAGTATGAATGGAAGCGAGAGCCACACACATTGGGCCTGATGGAGACAAAAAGATAGAACAAACAAACTCAATACTCACCCAGACTTCCCAAACATATTTTAGTGAGAAAAAAACCCTAAACAAATACACACAGTTATGAATTTGTGAGCTGCCCAGGACCTGCACAACCCCTGCTTTGAGAATAAACATAACAAACTTTGATACAAAGCCTGTGATGGATGGAGGTATTTTCAGAGAGGGGAGCAAGGGGAGGTGAAGTATGAGGGGCCTATACGACACAATGAGGAAGCACATTTTGTTTTCATTAAAAGCTGAATTAAAACTGTGAAGGACAGATAAAGTCCTGCTCTCTCCCTGATTCCCTGCCTGGCTGTCTTGATCTCTGGCAAATATCCAGAGATCCTCCCCATCGTTGCCCGACCCCAGCTCTCATCCTGACTGCTGGAGGGCCTGCACTGAACTTTGACCCCATCTGACAGATGTATGAGTCTTAACAGTGCTTGACTGGCCTGACAGGTTAGCCATAAAGTTTTACTCTCAGGAAATGGTGAAACCACATCTAGAGAACAAGCTCTGCTTTCACACACACACACACACACATAAACAAGCAGCAGTTCTAAAGAGAAGTTGCCTTCCAATCTAGCGCAAAGTACACCTCACTTTCACTTTTTATCATCCTTGAATAATTACACTCCCACTTATAGCTCCATTTAGTTAGAAATGGAGTAAAAATACCAACGTGCATCAATCCCAAACCCAAATCCACATATTACGAGGAAGTGTGAGTCATTGTGAGTGAAATACACCAAAACGCATCATAAACCTGTGTAACAAGCAGAAGTGATTCCAACTCTGTGGTCGTACTAATGATATCTTTAGTGACCTTTCAGAGTGTGTAATATTCAGTACATATGAAGTCATCTGCCTTGGTGGGTTGGTGTTTGCGTTAACTGGCGGCATGACGAAGAACCGAGGGAGCACAGCTTGGTAAATTGATGGAAAGCGTGATACAGATGCTCATGGTAAAGTCATTTACCACAGGGATCACATCTCCTATAGTCTGGACAATCTCGGCCCCAGGACATGATTTATGAGTGTTTAAAGTAACACTGGTTTAGTTTTCTGACACTGGCCAAGGACTAGTAAATGTACAAAACAACTTAACAAGCATTTAACGAGCGGTACCCCAGCAATTTAGTATTGCACTTTCACAAAGCTAAGGAACGTGTCGAGTATAAAGTTTCAAAAACACTGGGTTCTACATTTAACAAAAAGCAGCTTGTTCATTTGTCTGTTTCAATCTCCAATATCTTGATGACCTTATATGAGTTATTTCTTTAACTTTGCAGAGCTGTCTCCAGAGCCACAGAGGACATCTTCAAATTGTATATATATTTATGAATTTTAATAACTGATAACTTTTTTTTTCATTTTCTTGAACATTGTGAGATAGGGCGGAGTTAGTCTTGTCTTGTCGTCTAAAAGTTTCCTTCTATTAATAATAATTAGTAAGTTAGTCAGTCATATCCATCGAAACAATGGAAAAGTTGCTTACTTAGTCAAACTAGCCAAACCACAAGCCAAAGTTATGAAAAGCAATTCAAGAATTCAACAGTCACTTCTCAAGTTCCACATTCCTCAGGGAGTTATATTCCAGATTATTTCTTGAACCTGCTGCTAAATACTCAACCAGCAGAGACTCCTTGAAGTTGGAACTATTCATTGAAACAACTATATCAGAAATACATTGTCAATAATTAGTCTATTGATTAGCAAAATGATTGAGAAATTATTTGCTGTGTCAACATGACATTTTGCTTTTTCTTGAACAGAAAACAGCATCTTTTGGTTGGATGCAGTCAAAACAAACAAAGTGGTGTATAAAGCGTTCACTCTCATGAACTTTTCAAGTTCCTTCTACGTGAAACAGATGACCGACCTCAGCAGAAAGTATCCATGGTAACCATGGGCTGTCACTAGGGAGATGACAGCTGGAGTTTGAATCTCTGATGGGATGAATAACAGGGCACACCTCCAACCACATTACCAGATGGCATGGTGGGGGGACAGAGAGACAGACGAACAGGTGGGCAAGCAGGAGATATTTACGTAGGCAGAAATAGTGGTCAGGCTGAGAGGGAAGAAAAATAAAACAGACAAAAAGCAGAAACTGAAACGTGAGGGTTGACGTTTTAAAGACAGTGACAAAGGCAGTGAGAGGAATGGCCAGTAGGAGGGAAAGGGAAAACAGGACGGTGGGAAAGGAACAGGAGATCAGTGGGAGGCAAAGCAAAACAAGTTTATGTTGAGAAGAGGAAGAAGTAGGAGGAGGAGTGGGAGCAGAGAACAGAAGATATGGAAACGAAGGAGAGAGCAGCATAAGCACGAAGAGGCCGGACCCTCGGTGGGGGTTGAATTTCTGGTGGAAACAAAAAAACTAAACAGAGCTTTGAAAAAAAAACCTTAGAAATGCATAGAGCCATAGACATCAGCATTCCAGCACATAATGAGAAGAGAACCTAATTTCTTCCTGATCTATTTGTCTGCAAAGCGTTAAAGATTTTCCACTGTTACAGACCTGGGGGATGTCAATATATGAAGGATTACACGGGTCAGACCCCGAGGTGCTCTGGTTTGTTATTCTTCCTCTCTCTCTGACTTCTTCTATCACACAGAGGAGGCTTTAGAGGGTGAGCTGAACTAAAACAGACTGAAAAAATGGAGTTTAAGCCCCGGGGGTTTTCCTCAATATTGAAATGTCCTACTGTTCTCAGGGCTCAATCTAAAGGAGATTAACTCTTCTGTGGCCATTTCGCGGACTTTGAAGCTGCTTCCTGGCCCGTGGACCGCTCATTAACTGCCATTAATAGTAATAAAAGGAAAATGGCTGCCACTATGTTGCAGGGGAAATGTGAAGAATGGAGGAAAAGCGGATTCTGAAGTTAGGGCTCAAAGGAGGGACAGTGTCAGAGAGATTTTTGGAGTGGACCAAAGTAGTTTTGGACTCTATGTAAGATAAAACAAGCAATATGAATGAGTCATGTTGGCCACTGATCAAATATAATCACCGTTTTCTGCCAGACAAAACAACACATGGATTAAACATCTATGATTGTCTTTATTTTTTTGTGGTTTCTTTTCCATTTTAGCAGTGAGTTGTAAAATTAGAAACTGCAAAATCAACAAGCCTGTTTGAGGCTGTGGCCTGAGGGTCATCTTCCCGGTGCAGAAATCTGCAGGGTCAAAGGTTGAGGCAGGTCAAAGAAGCAGTCTCCACTGACCTGCAAGGAAGGGCAGTGCTGCATGCGGGCAGGCGTGGAAAATGACTGCAGACAGTTTCCACCAAGACACAGACCAGAAGTTCACAGATGACAAGGCTCCAGGTCAGGTGTCTGTGTTCATGTATGTGTGTGTGTGTGTGTGTGTGTAGTGGTCATAGGTCAAAGGTCACAGGCCTGGTATCTGACTCTCCCTCAGAAAAACTCTTACGTAATGCTGCTTCTAGCAATAACTCAGCTTGCTGCTCAAATAGAGGAAATCATACAGAATTGTAGTAATAGTCAATGACTCAACTAAATGGTGATTAGGGCGATGGATACACAAATTCCAAACTAGATATTGTACTTCTATGGAAATAGTACTTGAACTGAACTTTTATTTTAACTAGAACAGCACTCAGTTGAGTATATACCTCCGTCAAGGCCCAACAGTCCTCTTATGAAATTTAAATTCACTGGATCCAGATTTTTATTTGGATCTGCAACAAATTGCTCGCACACATAAATATCTGTCCCCTTAACGTGAAAATAAAAAAAATCCTAATCGATTAATTATTCTCTGAGGATTCAATGAAAACATTGAAAAAAATCTCAGTATATTGTTAGTAAGTGAAGAAAGTCCTTCCTGGATCTGCCCCCTGATGCGGATCCACACCAGAATTGAATAGGTTCTTCTTTGGGTCATGTCTTACCCCTCCAAAATTTCACGGAAATCGGTCAAGTAGTGTTTACGTAGTCACAAACAAATGCAGATTAAACATAACCCCCTTGCAATTAGTGGTAAAATATACAAATATATACAAACATATCAAATGTTTAAGTTCTCATTGTGAAGAAAGGTCATATTCCTTCACTGACAGGGTAAATATTTCATATATTTTCATAAGTTGCTCATGCTTCAGAGCAGCTGAAGGAAGCCCTGGAAGAAAGGAAGGACAGGAGGTAGAAAGGAGGTAAACATTAGGGGAAATGAAGGGAAAATGAAAAAAAACTAAGGAGAAATTGCAGTGCAAATAGTTTTTGAGTTTGGTTTATGTTAACTGTTAAATCCTAATCGAGGATAATAACCGGACCCGTCGCATAAATGTCCTTCCCACCTCAGTGATGAGAAACAGTAGGTACTTTCTTGTCCTGGCAAAATATTCTCCTGCTTAACTCATCACTAGAGAATTGAAAGTGAATTGAAAGTGAATTGAATTGAGAAACAGATAAAGAGGGAAAGAGTGAGAGATTTTTGGCTGTGTAGTGGAGGAAGGAATTGGCTGTGTTTGTTTAGATGACTCTTCTGGCTGAGAAACAACAGGAGATTAAGTTCTATATTATATTAACTTAAACTGTGGTCGACAATACAAACCCCAGAGGAGATTGATTGCTTTTCTTTTCCATGAAAAATACATGTGTTGAACGCAGAGACCTTTCTAGACTCTGACGATTTGTTGCGGAGCTAATATTGTTTGTGATTGGCAACAGAAATAATTGTAAATCAAACACAGCTCTGCAAATAAATAAGCTCGCGTAATGCCTTTATGTGTTTGTTTTTTGTGTGTGCATCGATGTGTGTGGCAGCACCAAATGTGGGAAGTAAACCCATGGCAAAACCTTTTTTTTATCCAGTCTGACATTAAATAGAAACCACTTTATTCACCGACCACATGCCAATCAGTGGTCCCAGATAATCCTGCCTTTACTGCTCAGCCTTACCCTGCACATACAGTAAGTATAAAGCACAGACACATAAAAAACCTAAAATGGAACCTAATGCACATAAAAGAGAAATCGAGAAGCTGGCGAATCTTCACGTGTCCCAAATATAAATTCCTCCCCAGCTATTTTGTGGCTCTTTATTCCCTTACTTGTCCTCAAAGCACTCTGAGGTAAGGAAGTTTGTCCCGTGACTTTGAAAAACAGGGAAATGCTTTTCCCTTTCAAATTCTGCACATGCCAAGGCAAGACTATAAATAGAGGAACATATCCAGGCCATTGGGGTGGTATTGACGTTAAACTGGAGGGGACTGGAGTAACCGAATGTGATTCTCTGCTTTGGGTCTGACTGTCAGCCAAAGTGTCAGCCTCCAAAAAAAACGCCTCTCCTCAACAGAGAATAGCGGGGCCAAGTTAATAAGGTGGGTGGC